TCGACACCCACCACGCGAGTCTGAGGTAAATTCATCAAAGTTTCACGTACTCTTCACTCCCCCCCCAACACAATGTGTGCAATTAATATTACTTTTAAACCCTATGCACCAAGAATCTATTCTTTAAATGGTGACTGTACAAATAGTCATTAAGCTGGGTGAGCGTACTGACAGTCTATAATGTATACTGTAGCCTGCTTATTAAATTGCCTGAGTCTACTGGCAGTCTATTATGTAGACTGTCGCCTGCTTATTAAGCTCCGTGAGCGTACTGCCACTATCATGTAGACTCTAGCCTGCTTATGAAGCTGAGTGGGTGTACTGGCAGTCTATAATGTAGACTGTAGCCTGGTTATTATAATCCATTCTTTAAATGTTCTTTGTACAAATAGTCATTAAGCTGGTTTAGCGTACTGCCCGTCTATTATGTAGACTGCAGCCTGCTTATTCAGCTGGCTGGGTGTACTGCCAGTCTATCATGTACACTGTAGCCTGGTTATGAAGTAAAGTTAGTCAATTTGGAACACGTACGCCGATTCCCACTCACGGCCACCACCGGTGAAGATTATTTCAACCCGACCTGGGCCTCCCCTAGGTCGACTCAGCCTCACACGAGTAACTGGTGTCGTGTGTGAACATCGTCACTGGGGAGACAAAGGCGGCCGGGCGTCGTGGATCCAAGACCCGGGCGAAGGCGGGTAGTCAATCTAGTACACATATATAATCATTCCTAGCAATGTGTCCAATGGGCGTTTGAACATCGAAACACCTCCTGTATCGTTGCCGTAAAGTGTAGAATCAAACACTGGGCGACAATAAAGGTGTATGGCCTGAAAGTTTGGCAAATTGGAATAGACGTTTCGGACAATGGCTCTTCCATGCAATGTTTATAAAGTACCATTGACGGAAACATCGCCTATTATATATTGTTTTATTTTAAAGCCACATGACGTTATTAACAAGTAATTTGTTTGTGTTGGGGTAAGTGCTGTTAGCGAGCACCTATACAGGCTGGAACAACACACGAGGGGGTAGATGACCAACACCACGCCCGGCCGCCTTCGTCTCCCCAGCGTTTAAACATCACACCAGGTACCCATTTGAGACCGAGTCGACCTAGGAGAGTCCCAAGACCGATTCAGATAATCGCCACCGCCGCTTGTCGTGAATCGGACTCGGAGCGCCGCCGGGTTCGCAGCGCAGCGCGACGCGCTCCACTACCGCTCCGCACTGCAAGCGCAGCAGTAGCGGCGTCGTGACATCATCTATATATATACACACAGTACACCGTTTCAAATACTTAGAGACATTAAACTACCGCATTGACAATCTCCAAGGCTAGCGATTAAACGGGACGCCTGTAACAGTCGCCAATGCAAATCAACGATCACGCGAACCGCACAAGCTCGTCGCGAGACGTTTTCTGTGGTAATCTAGAACCAAGATCCCCCGTGACGCCTCCACGGACTGTAGGGGCAAGTGCTGTTAGTAGCGAGTAGCGGCACCTACACACAGACAAAGATCCACCAGGTAGCCTCCACGGACTGTAGGGGCAAGTGCTGTTAGTAGCGAGTAGCAGCACCTACACACAGACAAAGATCCACCAGGTAGCCTCCACAGCAGTGGCGGCTCCTGCAAAATCTCTCAGGGGGGGCAAATGTCTGGATGATTGATAAGGATAAGGTCCACCCCTGCAATGGATAAATTAACAGCTTAAGCATGTAAAGGCAACTTCACTTCTTTAATATTAATGAAAAATAAAGTGACTCTTACAATACATCTTGTTTGTTTCTATACTCACTATTAAAACAAACCACTCAAGTTTATTTTTATTAAAGATTCCACTAGGTGGCGACAAATTATATTGTTGGATGAAACGTGCTTACGTATGATGACGTAAGCACGTATGATGACGTAAGCACGTTAGGGCGAGCCCTCCCGGAAGCCGTAGAGAATGCATTGGAGCGCCCCCCGGTCGAAAAAAAAACATCTTTGAATGTAAGTCTATGGGGCCACTCGGGGCGATTCTCAGCCGGAGTGAAATCGCCCAAAAAGAGGCGGTACTCCACAGAACGTGACATGACGCTGATTGGACTATATCCAGAGGCTGACAGTGACGGCTAGCGTGACTCTGTGGTTGAATGACATTGGTGGTGCGTCGCCCAATCGCCCTAATGAAGAAACCGCCCCTGCTCCACAGGCTGTAGGGGCAAGTGCTGTTAGTAGCGAGTAGCGGCACCTACACACAGACAAAGATCCACCAGGTAGCCTCCACGGACTGCAGGGGCAAGTGCTGTTAGTAGCGAGTAGCGGCACCTACACACAGACAAAGATCCACCAGGTAGCCTCCACAGGCTGTAGGGGCAAGTGCTGTTAGTAGCGAGTAGCGGCACCTACACACAGACAAAGATCCACCAGGTAGCCTCCACGGACTGCAGGGGCAAGTGCTGTTAGTAGCGAGTAGCGGCACCTACACACAGACAAAGATCCACCAGGTAGCCTCCACGGACTGTAGGGGCAAGTGCTGTTAGTAGCGAGTAGCGGCACCTACACACAGACAAAGATCCCCCGTGAAGCCTCCACAGACTGTCGGGGCAAGTGCTGTTAGTAGCGAGTAGCGGCACCTACACACAGACAAAGATCCCCCGTGAAGCCTCCACAGACTGTAGGGGCAAGTGCTGTTAGTAGCGAGTAGCGGCACCTACACACAGACAAAGATCCCCCGTGACGCCTCCACGGACTGTAGGGGCAAGTGCTGTTAGTAGCGAGTAGCGGCACCTACACACAGACAAAGATCCACCAGGTAGCCTCCACAGGCTGTAGGGGCAAGTGCTGTTAGTAGCGAGTAGCGGCACCTACACACAGACAAAGATCCCCCGTGAAGCCTCCACGGACTGTAGGGGCAAGTGCTGTTAGTAGCGAGTAGCGGCACCTACACACAGACAAAGATCCACCAGGTAGCCTCCACGGACTGTAGGGGCAAGTGCTGTTAGTAGCGAGTAGCGGCACCTACACACAGACAAAGATCCCCCGTGAAGCCTCCACGGACTGTAGGGGCAAGTGCTGTTAGTAGCGAGTAGCGGCACCTACACACAGACAAAGATCCACCAGGTAGCCTCCACGGACTGTAGGGGCAAGTGCTGTTAGTAGCGCGTAGCGGCACCTACACACAGACAAAGATCCACCAGGTAGCCTCCACGGACTGTAGGGGCAAGTGCTGTTAGTAGCGAGTAGTAGCACCGACACACAGACAAAGATCCACCAGGTAGCCTCCACAGACTGTAGGGGCAAGTGCTATTAGTAGCGAGTAGCGGCACCTACACAGACAAAAATCCACCAGGTAGCCTCCACGGACTGTAGGGGCAAGTGCTGTTAGTAGCGAGTAGCGGCACCTACACACAGACAAAGATCCACCAGGTAGCCTCCACAGACTGTAGGGGCAAGTGCTGTTAGTAGCGAGTAGCAGCACCTACACACAGACAAAGATCCACCAGGTAGCCTCCACGGACTGTAGGGGCAAGTGCTGTTAGTAGCGAGTAGCAGCACCTACACACAGACAAAGATCCACCAGGTAGCCTCCACAGCAGTGGCGGCTCCTGCAAAATCTCTCAGGGGGGGCAAATGTCTGGATGATTGATAAGGATAAGGTCCACCCATGCAATGGATAAATTAACAGCTTAAGCATGTAAAGGCAACTTCACTTCTTTAATATTAATGAAAAATAAAGTGACTCTTACAATACATCTTGTTTGTTTCTATACTCACTATTAAAACAAACCACTCAAGTTTATTTTTATTAAAGATTCCACTAGGTGGCGACAAATTATATTGTTGGATGAAACGTGCTTACGTATGATGACGTAAGCACGTATGATGACGTAAGCACGTTAGGGCGAGCCCTCCCGGAAGCCGTAGAGAATGCATTGGAGCGCCCCCCGGTCGAAAAAAAACATCTTTGAATGTAAGTCTATGGGGCCACTCGGGGCGATTCTCAGCCGGAGTGAAAGCGCCCAAAAAGAGGCGGTACTCCACAGAACGTGACATGACGCTGATTGGACTATATCCAGAGGCTGACAGTGACGGCTAGCGTGACTCTGTGGTTGAATGACATTGGTGGTGCGTCGCCCAATCGCCCTAATGAAGAAACCGCCCCTGCTCCACAGGCTGTAGGGGCAAGTGCTGTTAGTAGCGAGTAGCGGCACCTACACACAGACAAAGATCCACCAGGTAGCCTCCACGGACTGTAGGGGCAAGTGCTGTTAGTAGCGAGTAGCGGCACCTACACACAGACAAAGATCCCCCAGGTAGCCTCCACAGGCTGTAGGGGCAAGTGCTGTTAGTAGCGAGTAGCGGCACCTACACACAGACAAAGATCCACCAGGTAGCCTCCACGGACTGCAGGGGCAAGTGCTGTTAGTAGCGAGTAGCGGCACCTACACACAGACAAAGATCCACCAGGTAGCCTCCACGGACTGTAGGGGCAAGTGCTGTTAGTAGCGAGTAGCGGCACCTACACACAGACAAAGATCCCCCGTGAAGCCTCCACAGACTGTCGGGGCAAGTGCTGTTAGTAGCGAGTAGCGGCACCTACACACAGACAAAGATCCCCCGTGAAGCCTCCACAGACTGTAGGGGCAAGTGCTGTTAGTAGCGAGTAGCGGCACCTACACACAGACAAAGATCCCCCGTGACGCCTCCACGGACTGTAGGGGCAAGTGCTGTTAGTAGCGAGTAGCGGCACCTACACACAGACAAAGATCCACCAGGTAGCCTCCACGGACTGTAGGGGCAAGTGCTGTTAGTAGCGAGTAGCGGCACCTACACACAGACAAAGATCCACCAGGTAGCCTCCACGGACTGTAGGGGCAAGTGCTGTTAGCGAGTAGCACCTATGAAGGCCGGCACGGCACACGAGGGGGGTGGGTGGCCAGCACCACGCGCGGCCGCCTTTGTCTCCCAAATGGCGGTGTTTACTACACGCCGCCGCGCCAGGCACTCACTTTAGTCGAACGAGGGGGAGGCCCGGGACCGGTTCAGAGATACTCGTCACCACCGGTGTTGAGCGGGAATCGAACTCGGGTCGCCGGGTTCGTAGCCCACCGCGACTGCGCTCAGCCACCTCCACCAACCACCACCACCCACCAACCACCACCACCACCAACCACCACAAACCACCACCACCACCACCACAAACCACCTCCACCAACCACCACCAACCACCTCCAGCGTGGCCGCTTGCAGTTACATTCCAACACCGCCGATTGATTCTCCGTATTTGCGATGTCGCTAATCATTCACAACCTCAACCACCGATAGTGTCGCGCAAAGGCGGCGGCGGCGGCGATGACGATGGGCCTCACCTGTGACGAGGACGCGGGGCCCGCTGAGGGTGGACGCCTTGGCTGGCGGTGGACGCGAGGAGCACGTGGCGCCCTCGTGGAGGCAAGAAAACCTCTGCCCTGGCAAGCGCCTCCTGCACCCCTCCCCCTCCGAATACGGGGTGGGGGTTCAGATTTACCAATTCGTACGCGCGAGCACGGCGATCCGATTGGCCGAGGTCAATTAAATTCGGACCAATGGGAGAGCGCGTGGCAGCTGCCCCACGCCTATGCGCGCTACGGAATTTAGACGCGCGAGTGTGCGGCCACTTCCGCCCATGCGGTGCGGGCTCCGTGCGTCCCCGGAAACACGTGGCGCGTACGTCGGGCACGGACACCAGCGTGGAGAAGTGTGGTCACAGAGAGAGACCAGCGTGGTGAAGTATGGTCACAGAGAGAGACCAGCGTGGAGAAGTTTGGTCACAGAGAGAGACCAGCGTGGTGAAGTATGGTCACAGAGAGAGACCAGCGTGGAGAAGTTTGGTCACAGAGAGAGACCAGCGTGGTGAAGTGTGGTCACAGAGAGAGAGACCAGCGTGGTGAAGTGTGGTCACAGAGAGAGAGAGAGACCAGCGTGGAGAAGTGTGGTCACAGAGAGAGACCAGCGTGGAGAAGTTTGGTCACAGAGAGAGAGACCAGCGTGGTGAAGTGTGGTCACAGAGAGAGAGACCAGCGTGGAGAAGTGTGGTCACAGAGAGAGACCAGCGTGGAGAAGTGTTGTCACAGAGAGAGACCAGCGTGGTGAAGTATGGTCAGTGAGAGAGGGAGACCAGCATGGTGAAGTATGGTCACAGAGAGAGAGAGGAGACCAGCGTGGTGAAGTATGGTCAGAGAGAGGGAGGAAATCAGCATAGTGAAGTATGGTCACAGAGAGAGAGAGACCAGCGTGGTGAAGTATGGTCACAGAGCGGGAGACCATATGGTGAAGTATGGTCGCAGAGAGATAGGGAGACCAGCGTGGTGAAGTATGGTCACAGAGAGAGAGGAGACCAGCATGGTGAAGTATGGTCACAGAGAGGGAGACCAGCATGGGGAAGTATGGTCACAGAGAGAGGGAGACCAGCGTGGTGAAGTATGGTCGCAGAGAGATAGGGAGACCAGAATGGTGAAGTATGGTCACAGAGAGAGGGGGAGGCCAGCATGGTGAAGTATGGTCACAGAGAGAGGGGGAGGCCAGCATGGTGAAGTATGGTCAGAGAGAGGGAGACCAGCATGGTGAAGTATGGTCACAGAGAGAGAGAGGGAGACCAGAATGGGGAAGTTATGGTCACAGAGAGAGAGGGAGACCAGCATGGGGAAGTATGGTCACAGAGAGAGGGAGACCAGCGTGGTGAAGTATGGTCACAGAGAGAGGGGGAGGCCAGCATGGTGAAGTATGGTCAGAGAGAGGGAGACCAGCATGGTGAAGTATGGTCACAGAGAGGGAGACCAGCATGGGGAAGTATGGTCACAGAGAGAGGGAGACCAGCGTGGTGAAGTATGGTCACAGAGAGAGAGGGAGACCAGAATGGTGAAGTATGGTCAGAGAGAGGGAGACCAGCATGGTGAAGTATGGTCACAGAGGGAGACCAGAATGGTGAAGTATAATCAGACAGATATCACAGAGGCATAGTTTCTCGTTGTGCCTATGTTTGCTCTCTCTCTATGTATCTCTGTGATATCTGTCTGATTATATGTCTGTCTATGTTTCTGGTTCTGTGTTTAATCTCTCTCTCAAATTTAGCATTCTCAGGAAGAACGTAATCAACCAGATAGGGTGTTGACTGTTATGTTATCCGACTCTCTGTTGTATTACATTACATTTCTAAGTATACTAGATTTGTGTTTCTATTTAATTTATACCTGATGATGATTGCTTGTGTTGCAATCGAAACGTCGTATGCTAGTATTTAATTAAATTTATTATTTTATCTTCATACGTGACTTTACCAAAAGAACCAAAGAATAATTCCTGCAGTCACGAAAGCTCCAAATTAAGTTTGAATGTATTGTTCACACACTATGGGCCACCAAAGCCAAAAAAACTCAGGTAACGACAACGTATATCCTGAATTCTTCAACAACTTGGGAACTGTCGGCCAAGACTGGCGAGCGGGCTTGATTACCAGTCCGTTTAAGTGGCACAATTCCCAAAAGCCTGGAACGAAGCAAAAGTCGTTGCCCTGCTAATTCCTAGAAAGCCAGAAGATCGGGCCTCAGGTTACAGGCCTATCTCACTGCTATTGACGGCGTACAAATTGATGGAGCACATGTTGCTGGCAGCATCGCGCCCACAGTAAAGCCACACCTGTCTGTCAAACAAGCCGGCTTTTCTTCTAGATTTGAAGTTTTCGTGACTATAAGTATCCATACTCTTTGGTTCTTTCGGTAAAGTCATGTAGGGGAAAATAAAAATAATAATAAATATATATGTATATTTTTAGTTATTTTGATTATTATTATTTTCACCTACGTGACTACCGAAAGCCTGCTAGAAGCTGCTGTGAGTAGGTCCTTTCTCTCACCAACTATATCGAAGCTTGGATTCAAGCGAAAGTAAAAAACCTGCATTAACCACAATAGACCTCTCATCCGCCTATTACACCGTCTGGAGATGTAGGCTCAAGGCAGCACGCATTATCAAGTGCCACTGCTGAATGTGATGCTTGGCAGCCGGAACTTTTGGTTACAACTTGCCGGTAACAGAAGCCATACAAAAACATCCATGACGGCTATCACAGCGATATCAGGACTGCCTCCAATCCTGTTTGAAATCTTCACCAGCGAACTGCTGAAGGCAGCGATAACTACACAGGGAACAAATCTAAAGTACATTTGCAACAAACTAACAGAAGACTTAGAAGAATACTTACAAAGATGGATACTTTGTCCGAATCCATCCAGAACTACCGTCTCAATCCACCGTCTCATTAACTGCGACATGAACGCCCAGTTGCAAGTGACTTTTTTTCTGGTAACCTTATCAAAAACGAGCCGTGCCCTGAATACTTGGGCATAACGTTAGAAAGAAGCCTCGGGTAAAAAAAGCACATAAAAAGAGTTTGCAAAGAAACAAAAAGCAGAGGGGACTCTTCAAAAACTGGCCGGTACAACATGGTGAGCCACCGTCAAAACTCTACGTGTAAGGTCCCCTCGCACTCGTATAGTTCAGTGCCGAGGTATTGCGCGCCATTCTGTGTGGGCATTAAGCGCCCCACACGAAGAAATTGGACATCCAGATAAACGACGTCCTGTGAACAATAACGGGTGGACTGAAGTGCATTCCCACTCAGTGGATCCACGTTTTGGCCAACGTGCCAGCAAACCTCCAGCAGCATGCCGCAATATCAAATCAACTGGGAAAAATCCGAGAAAAGCGTCGACTTCCCATTACTCCAAGACCTGCTTGACCGTCCACAAAATGGTCTGAGATCCAGGAAAGCATTGTGGGATTGCATGAGATGATTGGATGAAGCAGAGACAACTGAAGATCGCTGGCGAACACGATAACACAGTTCTGTCAAGGTTCCAAATAAAAGCCGAATCGAGGACCCCCACCACTGCTGCACGTGGATTTGTTCTGCCAAGAAAACGGTGGTGCTACATCAAGCTCTCCAGAACAGCGACCGGTCGCTGCACACACCGCTTCCACCTCTGGGAAATATAAAGGTGACCCATCGTGAGACCACGGCCATCCGAGGCAAACAATGGACCATATGGCGAACAACAGTATTAGTGATACTAGAGACCTCACTTCGCGTGACCCTGTAGTTATCACGCTCTTTGTCCTGGAGGGTTTTTTTTTCTTTACAAAAATGTAAAACAAAATAGAAAAAGCGCTGACGAGTGAGAGCAAGGGACCGCTGACCGAAGGGACCGCTGACCGAGGAAACCTCCCCGCTCCCATGATTCGCTCAGCCAATGAGAGTGACGTAAACTCTGAGCCCACCAGACCCCGCGATTAGTAGTCACGAAAAAAGCATTTTCATTCGATTTTTTCTCAATGTTAAGTAATGTGAGACCAGGATAGAGTCTCAGGCTCCACCTAAAATACACCTCACCACATCCACTCAGACGGAGGGCATCACCGAGACCACGGAGGTCCTGGAGCTCTTCTCTGAGAGTAACCCAACCTCGTCTCCCTCCGCCGCCTTGGAGTAGAGAAGAATTCACTCGTGAGTGAGTACATGTCAATGACTTGAGCACTAACCTGGATCATTCCAGGGTAAATCTTTTTGCAGATGACACGATACTGATTACTGCTGGCCGCTCTCCAGATGACGTGATTGCTAAGCTCCAGGGTGATTTCAACAAACTACAACATCAGCTGGTTGCTCTTAAACTCGTCCCGAATACCTTCAAAACCAAGGTGCTATGCTTCTCACCTGGACTAAAGCAGGAAGTTATTTTTCCCCAATTACATTCCTTAAATAATTATCAAATAGAGCAAGTCAAGATCTATAAGTATCTTGGGGTCATCCTGGATTCAAAACTGAATTTTGAAGATCACATTGATTATATTGTTAAAAAGACAAAAATACACAAGCACTGCTTCCCCCCTATGTTCCGTTTGGAATTAATAAAAGCTACCATACTGCCTTTACTTGATTACTGTGACATCGTGTATAAATCAGCCCCAAGTACTGTACTGAAGAAGCTTGACTCAATGTATCACTCGGCCTTAAGATTTGCATTGAACTGCCCATATAGGACTCACCACTGTGATCTCTACATTGGGTCAAACTTAACATCTCTCAATGTTCGACGGCTTG